GGTGAATGTCTGTGATGAGCTCAGTGAGCGTTCATGAACTTGGTGAATGTCTGTGATGGACTCACTGAGCATTCATGAACTTGGTGAGTGTCCGTAATGAACTCAGTGAGCATTCATGAGCTTGGTGAATGGACGTAATGAACTCAGTGAGCATTCAAGAACTTGGTGAATGTCCGTGATGAAATCAGTAAGCATTCATGAACTTGGTGAGTATCCATGATGGATTTGGTGAGCGTTGGTGATGGACTTGGTGAGCGTCTGTGATGGGCTCAGTGAGCATCCATGGTGGACTCAGTGAGCGTCTGTGGTGGACTAGGTGAGTGTTTGTGATGAACTGGTGAGTGCTTGTCTGTGGTGGACTCAGTAAGCATCTGTGATGCACTTGGTGAGCATCCGTGGTGAGCTCATTGAGCACTGATGATGAACTCGATGAGTGTCTGTGATGGACTCGTTGAGTGTCCGTGATGGACTTGGTAAATGTTTGTGATGAAAAGGTTGTGTGTCAGCTTGACTGGGCCATGATTCTCAGTGGTTTGGCAGTTATGTAATGATGTAATTTGGCAATTAAATGTAGTTTGGCAGTTGTGTAATGATGTAATTTGGCGATTACATACTGATGTAGTTTGGCAGTTACATAATGATGTAATTTGGTAGCAATGTAGTGATGTAGTCATCCTCTGTGATGTGATCTGTTGTCATCAGCCAATCAGTTGTAAGGGGAGTTTCCTCAGGGGTGTGGCCTGCATCCAACGTACATATGGACGTTCTGGCAAAGCTCACTTGCTTCCTCTGGATTCCGCATCTGGCTTGTCATCATATGGTCTCTGGTTCTTGGGACTTGAACCAGCGACCTGCTGTCTGACCTGCCAATCTTGGGTTCATCAGCCCCTGCAGCTACGTGAATCAGAAGAAGCCTCCAGCCTGATTCCTCACTCACGGACTTGGTACTTGCCAGCCTCTACAAGCCATTTCCTTGAGATAAATCTCCCTCTGTATGTGTGTGTGTACGTGTGTGTGTGTGTACACACTTCACTGGTTCTGCTTCTCTAGAGAACCCAGCCTAAGATAAGTGTTTGTGATGAATCCAGTGAGCTTTCGTAGTGGACTCAGTGAGCGTCTTTGACGGACTTGGTGAGCGTCCGTGGTGGACTCAGTGAGCGGCATGGGGGTGGCTGGGCCTGACCTCCCTAGTTTCTCAGATGTCTACTGGCTGGATGCATTTCAACATCTTGTGATTTACTCATGATGGTAGCATTCACCTTTCTCTTCATGGCAGAGACTCTGATGTGGTCAGTGATAGGATGGGATTCCAGCCACGTTTCCCCATGTTAGAACCCAAAGGGGGAAGGTTGTGTTTATGTCAACCTTTCATCCATGTAGAGAAAGTGTGGATGTTCTTAAATCACAGTCAGGTCTTCTTTACTGGTTCTCATGGTGATGAGGGAAGACGTTGGAATGATGTCATCGTGCATCGTAAAATCTTGTTCATAATGTTCTGGAAATGTATCTTTAGTAGCCACTGCCACCCCCTACCCTGCTCCGGTTAGATGGAGTAGTTCTCCCTCCTTCTAGATGGAGTAGGTCCTTGATTCCCCTGTTCCCTGATACGTGAAGTAAAGCCCCCACTAGATGGAGTAGACCTTCAAGGCTCCCTCCCCTGATAGATGAAGTTAGTCCCCCACTAGATGGAGTAGGTCCTCGAAGCCCCCCCCAATAGATAGAGTAAGCCCCCCACTAGATGGAGTAGGTCCTCAGGGTGCCCACTAGATGGAGTAGCCCCTCAAGGCCTCCTCCCCTGATAGAGGCCCCCACTAGGTGCAGTAGGTCCTCGAGGCCCCCCAGTAGGTGGAGTGAGACACCCCCATAGGTGGAGTGAGGCCCCCCCATAGGTGGAGTGAGACACCCCCCATAGGTGGAGCGAGGCCCCCCCATAGGTGGAGTGAGGCCCTCACCATAAGTGGAGTGAGAACCCCCATAGGTGGGGCAGAGGCCTCCCCTGTAGGTGGAGTGAGACCCCCCTGTAGGTGGAGTGAGACCCCCCTGTAGGTGGAGTGAGCCACCCCCCGAAGGTGGAGTGAGGCCCTGTGTGGAGCTGCCCAGCCCCGCTTACCCCCTTGGGCTCCCTGTAGGCAGTTCAGCCCCGGCCTCCTTCCTAGAGCTGCAAGAAGCCAGAATCCGGAGGTGGGGAAGCCTCTGGGGTGTGCGCCCTCCTTGCTGTGCGTCAGGTGGGGCGAAGCAGAAGTGGGGGCTGGGTGGGAACATGATGCATGAGATGGGTAGTAGCTCCAGGCAAGGGGGCTGGTGAAGGGGGCCCAGCTGAGGACCAAGAGCGGCTCCAGAGAAAGATGACATGGCGTGTGCCCCAAAGGCCCGATTCTTACCCATCTGAGAAGGCCTCACTGAGGACCAGAAGTCCGTCTGCTCAGATCATTGTACCTTAAGACCCACACAGTGCCAGCTTAGTGCTGGGCGGCCAGTTCATTTGCCAAGTTCACTAATTGTGCTTTTTTTTCTTTAATTGTGGTTTAGGTGAAAGTTTACAGCTCAAGTTAATGTCTCATATACAAATTTATACACATATTGTTATGTGATGTTAGTTGCCATCCCTATAATGTGACAGCACACTCCCCCTTTCCACCCCAGGCTTCTTGTATCCATTCAACCAGCTCCTGTCGCTTCCTGCCTTCTCTTCCTGCCTCCGGACAGGAGCTGCCCATTTGGTCTCATGTATCTGCTTGAACTAAGAAGCACACTCTTCACGAGTATTATTTTTTGTTATATAGTCCAGTCTAATCTTTGCCTGAAGAGTGGGTTTCGGGAATGGTTTTACATCTTGGTTAACAGAGCGTCTGGGGGCCATGGCTTCAGAGGTTCCTCCAGTCTCAGTCGGACAACTAAGTCTGGTCTTGTTATGTGAGTCTGAGTTTTGCTCCGCACTTTTCTCCTGCTCCGTCAGGGACTCTCTGTTGTGTTCCCCGTCAGGGCGCTCATTTAATTGTGCTTTTGATAGCTTCAGAAGTACTGACTGTAACGGGAAGGTTCCATTTTATTTACTGATGATGAAGTAGGCTTTTTTGAATATTAACTAATATAAAATTGATATTCTACCTGAGAAATTTAATCCTTACATGGTTAAAAAAAAATTGGCAAAACACAATACAAATGGAAGCCTTGTCATCTGAAATGCTTTTTTTCCAACCAGTTTTGACTTCTCTGTGGCTCCTTTGGTTTATCTCAGCTGCCTGGGAATGCCGCTTCTCGCTTTCAGACTTTCAGGAAGTTTGGTCTCTCACTGATTTCTTAATTTTGTATTTTTATCAGTTAAAATTTTAAGTCATATTAATTTTTTTATTTCACATTTAAAACCTCAAAAAGAAATCAAAATAGTACTTAAAAATCAAAGTATCCAAAAGAGACAAGAAATAATCCTTTACTGATCATAAGAGTTGAATGGAGTTACTAATTTATGAAAGACATTATGTTCTTAAAAATATCTCTGTGACGTAATCTGCATTGCCTCAGAGATGCATGCATCATCCTTTTTCGTACTGTGTTTTTCCTTGCCTGACTGAAAGCTTAGCATTGTTGTTGTTAACCCCCAACGCTCTGCTTTCAGGAGTTCAACCTAAGCCTGTTGGCCCCGTGCTTAAGCCTCGGCATGAGTGAAATTTCTGGGGGCCACAGGAGCCACCTCTTTGAAACGGCCCGCCTGGTGACTCTGGAGCGTATGAGCAGCATCGTCCAGCAGCTCCCCACCACCCATCAGGTGTTCCAGCCTTTCCTCCCAGCCGAGTCCTCAGCCTACTGGAGCAAGCTGAATGACCTATTTGGTAATGAAAATAAAAGCTTGTCTTATTTCTTAAAGAGCTTGCAAAGCCTAGTGAGTGCCGTGCCCAGAGTAAATGTAGAAAGCATTTAAAATGAGGGACCGTGCTGGCCTCGAGGCTCACCCTGTCCCGTCGTGTATGTTTGCCGCTTTTCCGTTCGGGCATATAGGAACACTGGGGCACACCTTGGGAATGTGTCTCCAGAATCGCACACCAGGCTCTGGGTGTCTGTGAAAACGCACTCTGTTGAGCACAGATGCCGTCTGCTCTCATCAGATCCTCACATAGTGGCGTGATTGCCTTCAAGAGCCCGGGGCCCCCGCTGTGCGCGCCCACTCACACCGCTTCTGTTTCAGGGGACACAGCGCTGTACCACTCGATGACCACGTTGGCCCGGGCCCTGGCGCAGTACCTGATGGTGCTCTCCATACTGCCCGGCCACCTGCACCTCCCCACCGACAAGGAGCAGGATGCTGTCAAGTTTGTGGTGATGATACTCGAGGTGAGAGGCTGGACGGGAGTGCCCTGGCAGCTGGGAGGTGAGCTGGCGTGTGACTGGGAGGGGAGACTGCAGAGAACATGAGAGGACAGTCGGTTATAGACCAGGAGCTGGGAGGTGAGCTGGTGTGTGACTGGGAGGGAGAGTGCAGAGA